TATGGCATAACCAAATTAGCAATGTAGTACATGAGATGTAGCCAAAAGAAAGCAGAATTTAGAGGCAAATATTTGCCAGTCTCCACACTTACTGTTCAAGCATCCAGTAGCTGCGCCTTTGAAAATTTTCATTCTCCTCTCCATGTGCATAGTAGCAGTGTAACATATCAATGCTTCCAACCTGAAGAAAAATGATATCAACAGATAATTCATAAATGAAGCCCAGATGAGGGGAATATCCAACAGGATTTTCTTTTCTGTTTTTAGCAGAAAGATCCACTGACTATTTGTTACAGTCAGATAACTGGACGAAAGATCCAGTACCTACTTCATGAATTTACTATACGTGATAATTAAAAGAAAAATCTTTTAAGTTAATTATATATTCCATGGTTACCTTCAGCTTCTCGTGGGCTTCCTTAATAGTCTTCCCATCCTTTTTCTTTCTCCAATTATGTCCATCCTTCCGGAAGTATCTTAATGCCTTCCGATCAAAAAGAAAAACAGAACCACCTGAGAAGAAGCACGCATGCAAAGTAAAATAGGTTACTTGCAAACAAAATTTGAAGCTAAAGGTTATTAAATACAAGCACAGAGAGATTACAATTCCACTAACCTAAATTCTGGAAACAGACCATTTAAAGGGCATGGCATGAAAATTTCCAGCTTTCCCCAACTACATCTAATGCTTCGATGCAGCACTTATGACAATGTAATTAGATATTGTATATGAATATTAATGATTATGTATTATGCAGGAAGCGGAATAATGCATAACCACAACTTTCAACACTTAACAACAACAAATAAAAAATAAAAAATCAAGATCCTATATTTCATCAATTTGTTTAACTTATAACATTTCATAACAGAGAGGAATTAATGAAGATTCGTGAATTAACAGAAAGGAACATACTGGCCAGGACTCGTGGCTTAATGCGTCAAGTATAGCATGGCATCCACTACTTTTAAAATCCCAGGCGATGTAATAAAACAAGACCAATATTTGACTTCACATTAAAAAAATCTTAGACGTTATACAAAGTATCAATATGCAGTAGCTAATAGGAAACATACAAGCAAGCTAGTTGGACAGTTGCATCACTCTAGACTGTCCCTCCTCTAACACTGTAACAGCATTTTAAGTGATCGAGTTCTTAATATAATGTGAACTTCTTTCACTGCCAAATGTGTCTCGATAAATGATTATTAGATAGCAAATTTTTAAATAAGTTCAATTAACCATGATTCTGATGCATCAGTATGTTTTGGCATAAGTAGCCATAGAGATTCTCTAGTTGCCACAAGATGCCCTTTTTCAGGTGTTACAAAGGCGTCCCAGAGGGCACCATATCCTGATTGTGAGGAACAACAGAAGTTTAAAATCAAATCAAGGGATTTTAGCACTGTGTAACGGCCAGTGCTTTACTTTACAGTAACTTGGAGTATGGCATTAAGCACTCTATTGATCACGATTCGCACGCAAAAAAGTTGTGTGATTTCTCCTAGGATTAAAGATAGCAAAAAACTGGGTAGAATATGGATTCATTATGTACCTAAGCCAGGTCTGCATGGTGGGAGTCAAGTAAATCACATTTCTGTTGAGTAGGCATTTCAGTAGGTATATAAATTAAATAATTTAGATAAAATTACCAAAACAAAAAAATTGACTGGTAATGAGTATATAAGGGACGTACTGACTGGTTTATGCGGAGGCTCAAGGGAAATATGAAACTTTTGATAGTCCCGTAGGATTTCACATATTTCAGGAGGTCTCAGCCATCGATGTTGCACTTCTCTTAGTATCTGCTTAACATCTGCACATCAGACAGCAGTAATCAAATGAGAATGCACTTCCCACACATTAGTCACAATAACTAGTCTCGAGAAATAATTGAATGACTCATTTGAGCAAGAGAAATGATTCAAAGAGTGTGAGGAGGGTAGACGGGTGCATTAAAGAACAATTCTCTCTGGCTTGCATTTAATAAAGCTTCCTCGGGACAAGCTTTTAATATTGAAGCTAGAAGTTTGAACTGGATGGTGGACAGAAGGAACCTAAAAATCCTTGGGCATCTAAACTATTTAACTTCTATTCAATAAAATATCAAAGGGTTAAAATCAATTTGCTGAGATATTTTTAGGTGAAATAACTGCACTGGTTTGGCTATATAATAGTTAGCAATATGCATAACTCTTATCAATTATCATACTCCCCTTTCTTACTGGAAAAGAGGGTAAAATATTTAAAACAGATTTTGAAGGTATGAGAACCAAACCAAGAAATTAGGAATTTAACATCTTAGGTTTACTGGGGAAAAAAATTTACCCTAATGACAAAGGTTACAATCTGATTATTGATTAAATATAGGAATATTCAGGTTCTTTTGAGCAGAATGACATGTATCCTATCCATTTCATACATAATTCGATCGAATGTATTGATATAGAGAAAAATATGCATCCACATAAACATATAAGTTATAACATGAAAGCACTTGGAAGCCAAGTTATGAGTCCGTCTTTATGCACAACAGCTATATAAGTGCCTTCATCCAAAACAAAAACCTTATTTACCAAGTAGTAGCAGAAGAACGGAAAACTTGTAAATACTAAGAATTATACTTAAAAGATATATTTGATCAACCCAACTGAATTCAAATCAGTTATCCGGCAATTATACTCCCTTTCAACACTTTTTTGGGGAACAATCAAAGACTGTACCTCCTTTACTCATTTCTTCATTCGAAAGCTGGAATTCAGAAAAAATTTACTCTTTCGAACCGTTGAATGCTGTATTTTCTCGAAAATCAAAATACAGGCGCGATAAAAAGGGCAAACCTTAATTAAGAAGAGTTCGAAATCATACCTGACCGAAACCCTAGATTATTCGATCCGCTGTCAGCCATGGAGAACTGGATTACAGTGGACCAAGACTTGAGTCAGCTTAGGCTTAACTTTATACACAGAAGTTAAGAGAGAGATGAACGGAATGTGAGAGATTTGATTTTGATTTGGAGAAGCTTTACTCTGGGAAGGCTCAGCCGTAAAAGTCATATCATACATGTGACAACCAATGGCTTGTCAACACGTGGACAGCTTGGGTACAGGACAGTACAGCAAATGGCCGCGTTTTTAAAATGACCAAGTCAAATACTATTGAACACTCCTAACTTGTTTACTACAATGACTTTTTTAACATTAAAAATTAAACATCCCTTTTATTTCAAAATTAAAAAGCGAAATTTCTTACCATGGACCACTCGGACCCAAAACCTTGTTACCATATAACAGTTATGTTTTGATTTCTTCGCAAATTTTGATTTCTTCAACATAATAAAAGAATTTTTTGTTTCAATCTTTGAATATTAAAAGCTAAAAACTTAGGTCATGTTCTCTTTGTCGTTTTCCAGCCATTTTCTATTTTTAGTTTCTCAAAACAACGAAAACGTATTCTCTATCTTATTTTCCAAAACGCGTTTTGGAAAATGCCAAAAAAACTATGCCTGAAAATAGAAAACAACCTAAACACCGTTTTGTAAATTGTTAGCCAAAACAAGGAAAATATAGAAAACACGCGAAACGGACGAACACGTCTCTCACCCTCACTTTCACCCTCACTCTTTCCCTTTATCTCAACTCTCTCGCTCTCCTACCTCCCTCTACGGAGGCAAAAACCCAACCAAAACAAAGGCTGAAACGAGGGGACGAAGGGTGCTAGACGGGATCTTCCAATTTTGGGGCAGTTCGTTCCGATCAAGCAGAATCGAAGGCTGAATCGACGAGTTTCAGTTTTAATCAAGATTTCTATTCTCCAAATCAAAGTTTTGTTTCTTTGCTTGTGATAATTTTTAGTTATCTGTTGCTATGGAATTTATGAGTAGTTGGGTCCGATTTGTGGTATGTTTTTTTATTTGATTCGTTCGAAAACTGAGGCTGGTTGGACAATGGTTGGGGCGGTCGCTGGTGCAGGAGGTGGAGCTGGAGCTGGAGCTGGAGCTGGTGGTGGAGGTAGAGATGGTGCTGGTGGTGGAGGTGGTGCTAGAGGTAGAGATGGAGCTGGATGTGGAGGTCGAATTGTATGAACGGTTTCTGGAATTGGATGTGGTGCTGGAGGTGGAGATGGAGCTGGAGCTGGATGTGGAGGTCGAGTGTGAACGGTTTCTGGTGCTGGAGGTGGTGCTGGAGGTGGATTTGCACTGAACACCCAGCAAAATAAACGTGAATGACCCTGCCTTTTGAACACCCTGTTTTCTAAATGGACATCCTGTTTCTTTTAGTTATTTGTTGCTATTGAATTTATGAGTAGTTGGGTCCGATTTGTGGTATGTTTTTTTATTTGATTCGTTCGAAAATTAAGGCTGGTTGGATAATAGTTGGGGCGGTCGCTGGTGCAGGAGGTGGAGGTGGAGGTGGAGGTAGAGCTGGAGCTGGAGCTGGTGGTGGAGGTAGAGATGGTGCTAGTGGTGGAGGTGGTGCTGGAGGTAAAGATGGAGCTGGATGTGGAGGTCGAATTGTATGAACGGTTTCTGGAATTGGATGTAGTGCTGGAGGTGGAGATGGAGCTGGAGCTGGAGCTGGATGTGGAGGTCGAGTGTGAACGGTTTCTGGTGCTGGAAGTGGTGCTGGAGGTGGATTTGCACTGAACACCCAGCAAAATAAACGTGAATGACCCTGTCTTTTGAACACCCTATTTTCTAAATGGACATCCTGTTTCTCAGTTGCTGTATATTTCTATGTCAATGTTCATCTGTAGATTTCTGCAAAAATGGAACTTCTGCAATGAATTGTTACTTAACTGTATTCGTATCTAGTGCATTTTCTTCTAGTTAAGGTATGAAATGATTTATGCTCGAACTAATTATCTGGTTAGTTAGCTTGAAAGAGTCTCACTTGGTCCCTCTGTGCTTCACTCTTCATATAATTGGCTTGTCATCAATCACATTAAAAGTTGATTCATACACTTTATCGAGATAACATATGGACCACATCTGAAATAGATGCCCAACAAAGTATTCTTTCTGGGTAGAAAACCTACCTCTTGTTCGAGCTTTTCCTTCAGAACTTTAAGATCTCCCGATTGGATTCCTTTTGAACTGAAAATGGAGAAAGACAATGGCTTCAAACATATGGGGATTTCGACAGTTTCACAATATAGTCTAACATCTTTTGAAGAACAGGTAAAGCAGGTATCCAAATAGCCAAGGATTCAAGGTATTAATCTATCTAACTTAGGCAGCAAACATGGGATTGCAGTTGAGAATTCCTGTTTAGACCTACCTGAATCCTATCATTACAGTTTGACTAAGTGATAGCATGCAATTTTGTGGTTAGGGATACGATGTATGAGATGTATTGCACTTACTAAGAAAAAATAAACTTATTAGATGAAAGTTATTTATAGAAACAATTTTGTAGTTTCAGAAATAAATGAGGGAAAACTTTTAAATTTGGCATTTACAGCAGAATAATAAACAAAATAGGTAAATTTTTGGAAGCATTCTACAATAAATCGGTACTAAATACTTTATTAAGTAGTGAATGGATTTGGAGTATACTTTGTCAAATAAATCCAATAAAAGTGAGTTTACTTTGTTTTAGAATCAATGTCCAAACAATCAATGAAGCTTTAGAAAGAGGATCAGCATTGTTCTTTTTAATCCTTTTACATGCCAGTGGATGCTATCGTTAATATATATC